CCTCCTCCTCTTCCTCCCTCCTCCGTTGCTTCCACCCCGAGTGCAAGCACTGTTTCAGGAACCACCCTTCAGCAGCAACAGCAGCAGCGGCAGCACCACCACCACCTCCTCCTCCTCCTCCGCCTCCTCCTCCTCCTTCTCCTCCTCCTCTGCCTTTCATAACAGATCCTACATCCTCCCTCCTCAGTCTTTTTCCCTCCTCCGCCTGCCATTGAAGAATGCGAAGCAAGACATCGAGGGATCCCACACCTGTTATCCGAGATTTCGTGCCAGAGAAAAATGACAACGACGACGACGATGAAAACGGCGCCTTCCAATACGGAAACGACAACGAATATGGAAACGACCCTGACGAAAACGACGATGCCGACCCCAACAACAACGACAAGGAAAAGGACGACGACGACGACGACAACGACGACGAACGAGGACGACGACGACAACGAGAAAACCGAGGAAACAAACGACGACGACGACGAAAACGACAACGACGACGACGACGACGACGACCAGCACCACGACGACGAAAGCGACGACGACGACGACGACGAGAATGACGACGAGAACGACGACGACGAACGACGAATATACGTCGACGAAACCGGAACCGAAACAAACCAACACCGAAGAACAACAACGCCGACGTCGGCGCTGCCCAGCGGGCGCCGCACGCGGGGCTGTCCTTGGGCTTGCCTGCCGGCTGCACGCCGTGCAGCACCCACCACGGGGGCAGGGCGCCCATGCCCCCGTCCTGGGGGCGCCCGCCGGCGCGAGGAGGACCCCACCCACTACAGACGCTGTCCTCAGGTCGGGCGTGTCCCCCGACATGCGGATTTTGGGCGAAAAATCGAGAATAGTAGCAACATGCTCAAAAATAATCAAGAATGCCCCGAAACTCGCCCCCTGATTATTTTTAAATACTTTTTACATATTCCTCCTGTAGAGGGACGGGCCCGATTTAACGCTGTTCCCCAGACGTGTTCGCGTCGTGCGAGAATTCTGACGAGGCGGGTATGACCGCTTTCGGACCTGGGGGGCCTTCGCCAGACTCCGGGGCCGTCAAGAAGCGGCTCGGAACGAAAAAAAACGACAATGAGGAAAGGTCGGAGCTTCCGGGGACCTCGCACTGAACAAAATCGCGACATTGCATGTCTGGCAACTGCAGACGTTGTTCGTTGTCGTCGTCGTCACTCCTCGCTCGTCTCCTTGCCGTTCGTCGTTCATCGCCCTCGCCGTTCGTCACCGTCGCTTGTCGTTCGTCGTTCGTCGTCGTCGTTCGCCGTCATTGGTCTCCCTGTCGTCGCCGCCGGCGTCGTCCGTCGAGCGTGGAGCTCGCCGTCGTCGTCGTTGTGCATCGTGGGTCGCCAGACGGCGCTGAACCGCCGCTTTTTTCCGCTCCGAGCTCCCTCCGCGCGGCGGCGCCCCCGGCGGAGCAGAGCCAACCCCTCGCGGTCACGCCCTCACGCCCAGCTGCTGCCCTCTGTCACGCGGAAGGGTTAGGCCGTTGCTGGGAGGTTTTCGTCGGAAGGACTACGGAGAATTAAGCCCCATCCGGCGGTGGACAAACCTCCCTTCAGTAAACCTCCCCTCAGTGATAACGGCCTGGGACCGAAACCGACGGACCTGGACCCGCAAAAATGACGGCCGCGACGCCCTCTCGAGAACCGAAAACGGCCAATTCCTTTATCGACGTGTCAGGGTAGGAGGTCTATCCACCTCCGACCCATTGGGGGGCTGCTCCGCCGAATGAGGCCGCGGATGCAGCTGGAGTCAGCTGGATTCAGCGGTATCTCGCCGAAGTAAGCCGGCTTCGGCCAGTCTTCGGAACATCGGCAGAGTCAGAACTCGACCTCCCAGGACCTGCCTCCGAAGAGAAGAGATGAGTGGGCGCTGGACTCTCCGACCCGAACCCGAGAGATCCAAAACGCGCCGATGCCCTGGCCCAGACCTGGGATGTCCTCCTCCTCCTCCTCCTCCTCCTCCTGCTCCCCCTCCTCCCCCTCCTCCCCATCCTCCTCCTCCTCCTCCTCCTCCTCCTCCTCCTCCTCCTCTTCCTCTTCTTCCTCCTCCTCCTCCTCCTCCTCCTCCTCCTCCTCCTCCTCCTCTTCTTCTTCTTCCTCCTCCTCCTCCTTCTCCTCCTCCTCCTCATGGGGGAAGCGGGCCCTGCGAGAAACGGGGGTCCGGAGATGTTCCACCGCTTTCGGACCCTCGGCCCTCCACGAGCCCCGGGACGACCAGAAAACAGCTCAGGATTAGGGGGAAAACAAACCTACCTCGCTTTTGACCACCCTCGCTTCCGAGAGATACCAAGCGATGCTGAACGACGGCCTGTACTCGCCAGGCCGCTTGACGAGGAGGCGCGTGGTGCGACTCGGTTTTGCCTGGAAGCGAAAGCGGGGCAGGTGATTCACGCCCTGAGGGATGACGGACTCGTCCTGGGGGACAGCACCAAGCTTCAGGGCCCGCTTCCCTCAGGACCCGATGCACCATGCTGCTAAAGTTCGCGTTTTTCCCATACTGGGCCGCTGGGAGGAGGAAGGGAGGGAGGGGAGGAGAAAGAGGGAGGGAGGGAGGGAGGGGAAGGAGGAGGAGGAGGAGGAGGAGGAGGAGGAGGAGGAGGAGGAGGAGGAGAGAAGGAGGTGGGAGGAAGAGGAAAGGAAGGTAGAAGAGGATGGATGCAGCCTTTGCCCGGGACCGACTTCTGACGGCCCCGTCCGTGGCCCCGCGAGCGCCCCCCGAGGGGCCGAAAAAACTGCCAGGAGCCCGCCGCCGGGATGTTTTGTTCCCACGACGCGGGCAGGCCTGGGGGCGGAGCAGGCGGCGACCCCCTGGTGCCGTCGTCGCCGCATGACGCGTGCCATCCATCAGGAGGGAAAGAAGCACGCAGACACAATTCATCGGCGCTTCCCCGGAACAGATGGGAAGTGGGGGGAGGACAAGAACCCCAAAAATCTTGAAAAAGATGGGGAATCTTTTTATTTGTGTATGTATTTGTGTGTCTCAGGGCCCCTTCAATCCACCCGAGCACCCGACAAGTTTCTATGGCACGGCGCACATGCCAACGCCGCCACAGTGCGACCCAGCGCCACATCGGCGCGGCCACGGAGTCCGCGCGAGGATCGCGCGGAGGTCGCGCAGAGGTCGCGAGAAAAAACGCAGATGCCCGCGCGAAACCTTCCCCCCCGGGCCCCAGACCCCCGCAAGGCTTCTCCAGAGCCTTTTGCATTGTCGTCGCCGCCGCCGCCGCCGCCGAGGGCCGAGCGGCGCCTCGCCATGCACCTTGGAGACGTCGTAGAAGCCCGACGTCGTGGCCGCCGCCGGGGGGCCCGTGGAAGTCGTCGTCGGAGTCGAGGACGCCTGGGAAGGCGCCCGGCCAGCCCGGCCACTCACATCTGCCCTGAGATACTGGCGTCGTAGTTTCCCTCAGCTTTTCGCCAGAGGGCCCTATAGAAAGGTGGAAGAAGACCACAGAAAGGCCCCATAGGGTGTACCGGGAAGCCGAGACCGCCCGGTCTGGCAGCGGTCCAGCACCGTCGCCAGCGGTCCAGTAGCCAGGAACGAATCGTGCTCTCACCTCGACATGCCTGCTGCACTTGTGATCTGGACGGCCGCGGTCCCTTGTAAAAAACACCAAGGTGCACATGGCCGTGGTCTCACCCCTGTCCCGATTGACTTGCTGGGGCATGTTCTCGCCTGTTTCCGGACCCCGAGGCCATCACACAAATCCATCCGTCTCGAAAAGCACCGCACCAAGACACTTATAGGCTCGAGGGCTCCGGTCCAGATGTTTCGCCATGTGTCATATGCTTCGCAGCTCGCAGGGCACCACGGAGCAGCCGTAGCCCGGACCCCTTGTGGTCGAGGCCACCGCGCCGCTGGGGGTGCCGGAGCCGACGGGCCCCCCGAGGTGGGGGTGCCAGTATGCAGGGCAGTGTTTAATACATGGGATGTTTTAAAAACATTGGATTTGTCATACATGATTCATTTAGGAAAAAATGTTTGCACGAACTCATCGTTGATTTTAATACTAAATCCCTGCATTCTTGATACATGATCCGCACGCGGAGCATGCATTGAAAACGGCACTGTAATGACAAAACGAACTTTCGGAGGTCCGCGCGGGTGCTCTGGATCGTCGCGGGATACCCCGACCAGCCTCCAGCGTATCCCTACCCCTGAGACTGACAGGCCCAAATGCGATGACAACCGTAAGGATGCGCCCTCAGAAACTCAGGGTATATCCTTACGATTGGCGTCGAGATAGGGTGGTGTCGATCACAGGGATAGGGTTAGGTCGGGCGTGTCCCGCTACAGGCGGATTTTGGACGGAAAGAAGAAAGTCAAACAATACACAAAACATATCCAAACATACCTTTAACACATCGTCCCCTGATTATATCCTGACATGTTTGAGCATTCCTCCTGTAGAGGGACACGCCCGACGTAGGGACAGGGTTGTGCCTCAGGCTGGCAGCCCCCCCCTGGCGCGCTGAGCTCGTCAGGAGCAGCGTCTCCCCATGGGCCCCGGGGGTCGGCGCCGAACCTGGCGCCCCCGCGGGCGACGCGCGTCGCCTGGGACGCCCTGGCGCGCTCCGCGCGCCAGGAGGGTCGGAGGCGACGAGGGGGGCAAATCGCCCAGGGGAGGGCCGCACACGTATAGATCCAGAGGGCGCCCATGGCCCATGTCTTCGGGGAGGCTCCCGGGCGAATGCGTGCCATGCCAGCCCCTTGGCTATATTCGCCGACAGGAGGGGGCCCTGTGGGCGCCGATCCGAGAACCAGCGGCGCGCCCGGCGCGGGGGCGAGAGGGGGCAGGGCCTCCTCAGAGGGCAGCGCGGTCTCCCGGAAGCCCTCGGGCCTTCTGAGAAGCCGTTCCCCGAGATCCTGGCGTTGCCACTTTTCCACAGTGAGCGGTCCTGCAAGGTTTCGGGCCCCGGGACCCTCACAGAAAGATCCGGCTCGGAAAAGTGACGCCGACATATGGGCACCAGGGCTCCAGCCGCGATGTCCTGCGATGTTGCAACTGTTTCGCAGCGTCGGATCTCAGGGTCTCCATCTGTTCGGAGCAGGCTTCGAGCACTTCTCGGAGGGGCAGAGGAGCTCTGAGCCTGCTGAGAAGGCCCGCCCCCTCTGACCTACCCCCTGGGCCAGCGTCAGAGAACTCCGCGGGGACCTCCCGAAGTGCATGCGATCTTTCCCCCGCAGCGCTTAGGCGGCCAAGAGGGGGGCGTCCAAGAGGGGGGTGCAAGTCATGGCTGGCGGCACGTGCGCGGCCCAAGGGGGGGGGGCAGGGACGCAATGAAAGAATAAGAGGCGCCATGAGATCGGGGGAAATATCATGGCCCACGCCATGATATCCCCCCCCCCCTTAGTCACCACCCCCCTCTTTGCCGCCCCCGATGCGAAGGACTCGGGGTGGGTGTCTCGAGGACTGGCCGCACTCTGGCCTGAAGCCGCCCCGTTGCCGCCCCTTGCTGCCTGTGGGGGTGTCCCGAGGTCGGGCGTTGGCAGAACTAGGCCTGGTGGGACCTGGCTTATAGTGCTGTGCACCGGGGGATGCCCCCCCCCCGCCCCGTTCCAGGAGCCAGACCTGCCGTGGCCCGAACGAAAAACAGCCACACGGCAGACCTGGTTTGGTGATCCTGGCCAATGTGTAAGCTCTCTGGGGCCCTACTACTGACGGGGTTTCCATCATTGAGCAGGGACCGACCGTCCCGGCATTCCTATAGTCATACCACCAAATGTTTTTAGAACCCAAATAACAAAAACAACGTTCTTAGAACACAAGCCCGATGATATAAAACAAGACAGACTCCGTCAGAACTGTTCTAAGAACATCTCGTGGAAACCACAAAAAAAAGCTCTTAGAACATTCTTTGGTGGGGCTATAGGCGAGCCAGGACGCGTCGCCGCTGCTTGCCATTACCTGGGGTCCTGGCTACCCCCGGCAAGGATTGTTGCCCCCCCCGTTCCACGAGCCGGACCTGCCGTGACCCGAACCAAAAACAGCTACACGGCAGACCTGGTCTGGTGATCCTGGCCAATCTGTACGGGCTCCGGGGCCCCTATCTGCTGACCGGGCCCCCACTGCCTGGGGTCCTGGCTACCCCCGGCAAGGACTGCTGCCACGTCCCGGCCCGCTGCCGCCCGTTGCCGGCCGCTGCCGCCCGTGGGGGTGCGCCTGTAGGACTCGCCACGAACCCGGCCACTCGCCGCACGCTGCCGGCGGTCGCCACCCGTGGGGGGTCCAAAGGCCTGCTGCCCCCCGCCGTTGCTGCCTTAGCGGGGGCGTGCCGATGAGGCGCGCACGCTTTCCGAAGAGAGGCCGCGGAGATGCTCGTGCACCACTGTGTTTGGGATCCACGCTGGCAAGCATGCGGTGCTTCTTCTTCTTCTTATTCTTCTTCTTCTTCTTCTTCTTCGGGCCCTGGGCGCTGCTTGGTGCGGTGGGCGGTACCAGGGGTGGGTGCGAACACTCGCCGCACGTCGCCGGCGGTTGCCACCCGTGGGGGGGTCCAAAGGAAGCGCCACGTGTTAAGTCGGGCGTGTCCCCCTACACGGGGATTTTCGACGAAACATCAAAAAAATACACCAAAAATATTCCAAAAATCATCCAACAATAGTCTGGGGGCTATTTTTTGTATTTGTTTGTTGACCATTTGGGGGCACTTTTGGGGCATTTTCTATTTTTTGTCGAAAATCCCCATGTTGGGGGACACGCCCGACATAAGCCACGTGCCGGCCTGCTGCCCCCCGCCGTTGCTGCCTGCAGGGGCGTGCCGAGGATGCGCATGCATGCTCTCCGAGAAGCGGCCGCGGAGACGCTACTGCACCACTGTGTTTGGGATCCACGCTGGCAAGCGCGCGGTGCTTCTTCTTCTTATTATTATTATTATTATTTTTCTTCTTCTTCTTCTTCTCCTTCTTCTTTGTCTTCTTCTTCTTATTCTTCTTCGGGCCCTGGGAGCTGCTTGGTGCGGGGGGCGGTACCAGGGGTGGGTGCGAACACGTGGGCGCCTCTCGTGCCCTCTTTGGGCCCAAGCGGGCCTTTCGGCGACCCAAAGGGGGGTCCAGCTGAAAGGGGGTGGTGCAATAGATTTGGGGCAATTGCATTGCAAGTCTGCTGCGCCGGAGAATTGTATTGTATTGTGTTGCAAGTAATGCATTGCACGCGAAAGTCTGCAGCAAAACGCTTGCGCCACGAAATCTACTGCACGCCCCAAACGCACTGCACCCCCACGGAATCCGGTGCACCAGATCTGCTGCACCATCCCCTTGCCGCTGGACCCCCGCATGGGTCAACCCGAGGGCCCCTCCAGGGCCCGGCCCCTCTTGTAGGGCACAGCAGGACACTGCTCTCCTTGGCGGCGCGCACAAGCGGGTGGGGGAAGCGGGGAGGGCTTCTTAGAAGGAGGCTGCTTCTTAGAAGGCGCCGGCCTTACATCTATAGAGAAGGCCTGCGCCTTCTAAGAAGCAGGGGTGCTTCTAAGAAGCCCTCCCCCCTCCCCCCACCCCTCTCTGCGCGTGGCTGATCTCCACTCCCCCGCGCATCGCTCCCCCCCCCAGCACCTACGCACCCCCCGAGGGCCACAGGCCCCCAGCTCCTCCGGCAGAGGCCTCGGCGACCCCAGTGGCACGGAGTGGCCTCGGGTGCGCGGCGTCGCGGGGGGCGCGGGTGGTGCCACACGCGAGCGCGCAAGCCGATGCTAACGCTTCGCGCTCCACCAGTGGGGGCCAGGTCCACCGGAAAGCTCCCACAGAAGAGACCCGACTCACAGAGACCCCAGGGCGTCCATATGGATCTGGGGCGCGGGGACGTCACGCCTTCCATCGCAGAGCCCTCGAAGCCCAAGAAACCCAGGGCACCCCGGAGGCAAGCAGGGTGTGTCTTGGCGTATGGGTCTCCACTTGGTGCGCCTATGGTCGACCGCAGCTCCTCCGGCGGTGGCCGGCCTGCTGCACACCCACGCGGGTCCTGGCCAAGCCGGGGCGCGGGCGGCGGGCCTGGCCGGGGTCGGTGCCAGGGCTAGGGGGCCACATGCGAACCCTACCCCCATACCCCCGACGATTTCTGAGGGGGGGGGGGCGTGGGGTTCCCTTCGCTCGGGAGCTCCCGAGCGAAGTGAACCCCACCCGCCCCCCCAGAAATCGTGGGGGGCATGGGGTAGGGTCCGCATGTGGCCCCCTATAAGGGCCGCTTCGCGGGCGCCCCCCGGGGCCTCGGGCGTCGTGGTCGTCGTCGTCGCCGAGGAGGGCGCCGAGGTCGTCGTCGCCGAGGAGGGCGCCGAGGTCGTCGTCGCCGACGAGGGCGCCTCGGAGCCTGCGGGCGCCCCGCCTCCCGGGGGGGCTGCTGGCAGGCCTGCTGGCAGGCCAGGCTCGGCCCCTGTGCCGGGCCACGGCGACGTGAAGAAGAAAGGGCTCGAGGCGAAGCATCGGCCCCAGGGAGCGGGCCACGCTGTCCTCCTCCTCCTCCTCCTCCTCCTCCTCCTCCTCCTCCTCCTCCTCCTCACCGCCCCACCACGACCCCACCACGACAACCACAACCACCATCACCATCGAAATCACCATCACCATCACCATCACCATCACCATCATCATCATCACCACCATCACCATCACCATCACCATCACCATCACCATCACCATCACCATCATCATCATCATCATCATCATCATCATCATCATCATCATCATCATCATCATCATCATCATCATCATCATCATCATCATCATCATCATCATCATCATCAGCAGCAGCAGCAGCATCGCATCATCATCATCAGCAGCAGCAGCATCATCATCATCATCATCATCATCATCAGCAGCAGCAGCAGCATCATCATCATCATCATCATCATCATCATCATCATCATCATCATCATCACCATCACAATCACCATTACCATCACCACCATCATCATCAGCAGCATTACCATCATCATCAGCAGCATCATCGTTATCATCATCCGAATCAACATCATAATCGTCGTCATCAGCCTCATCCTCAGCAGCGTCATCCTCATCAGCATCACCAACAACACCCGCATCATCCTCAGCATCATCATCATCGTCATCATCGTCATCATCATCCTCAGCATCATCGTTATCATCATCAAAGTCGTCATCATCTTCACCATCTTCATCATCATAAGCATCGGCATGGCCATCGTCACCATCGTCATCATCATCATCATCAGCAGCATCATCATCATCATTAGCATCTTCATCATCATCAGCATCATCATCAACATCATCATCATCATCGTCATCATCATCGTCATCATGAGCAGGGCCCGTGAAAGGTCTGCAACATCGGGCCCCATACCCGTCCAGTACCCAAATAGCAGCGGCGTGGCAGCCCCCTAATGGAAATTGCTGTAATGCCCCACTCAGCGCTTCAACGCAAGGGGTCCTGGCGAAGATGTGATAAGTTGGCGAAACCAAAGGCGCAGCCAATTTCGGCATCGGGCCATCTTTCGGTTTGAAGGCTGAATGTAGAAGGCCTGGGTCGGCCAAATATGCGGTAGAATGTAAGTAATGTGAAGAGTCGATGGCGCGTGTGCACTGCACATGGTGTTGCATACAACAAGTGCGCAAAAACGAAAAGAGCGCAACGAGCGTAGCGAGTGTGGGCATGACAGGAAAAGAAAAGATCGCCAAACGAATGCAGCGTGCAACAACTGTTCCAACAGTGGGTCTCGAACATCCCGCGGAAGATAGCGCAAAGAGCCCAGAACGCGTAGAACCGATAGATACAGACATATACAACTGACCAGGAGCAACGGGCGGAGAGTCTGTAGAGTGAGGAGGTCGCGCTGCAGGGGGGGAAGAGAGCGAAGAACAAGCAGGGAGTGTGTATAGAGCTCGGTAAATACTGAGCTTTGCGGTCGCAGAGGCATGAGAACAATAAAGGTGCACGAGCCATACAAATGGGAGAGCGCAGGAGCATGGACTGCGCAGAGAATGCCGAAACTGCGGCCATCGTGCAAATGCGGGGTGTGGACAGTAAAAGGGGGCGGAGAAAGCGTGTATGTTATTACATGATCAGAACTGCAAGCGTACCCAAGAACATCGCACTGAACGTGGGCAGCAGATAGAGCCTGAGGGTGGTGACAGCATGCGCCCCTCTCCAGAGGGGCAAGGCTGATCCCGAGGCTCCCACTGGGCCCCAAGAAGGCCCCCAAAGGGCCCCAAAGGCCTCCAACATGGCCCCAAGATAGCCCCAGCAAGCTGCCAAGAGGCTCCCGTATCGACAAGATTCGCGAAGGTCATTCCGATGGACTCCCAGGCCCGCTTAGGCAGGTCCCGACCTCTGGTTCGGCAGCTGGCCCCCCTGGGTGTTTCACTGCGTGCTCCCACACACACACACATCTCGGGGATCTTTCTGGAGGTCCGAACGGGCTGTGGCATAAAGGGCTGTGGTGCCAATGCTGAATCTGGCGATGTTGTCTATCGTGGGTAGCATCTCCATTTCCACGATTGGCACCACACCCCTTAAAAACTTTGTGCCACACCCCTCCTAGCGCCAGAATCTTCTGACCAGGGTCACTGCAAAACCGGGTCAGTCAGGCCTTGCAGGATCCTGCGCCCAAGCCCGGGTCAGTGCGACCCTAGCCCTGCAGGATCCTGCAAGATTCGACGCTCTGGCTGACCCCCATTTGCATCGACCCCCGTCTCTTGAGCCCCAGGCATCCCTAAATGCAACCCGCCCGGGCACCGCTGCTGAATGGGCTGGTGGGGATCCACTCAGCGCCAGACATGGATCGGAGGGGGCTGCTCCCGAAAGACGAGCGCCACCGCCGTGCTCAGCAGCACTGGCGCGAGGCAGGGAGCCACCAGCCCACACGCCAAACGAACATGTAACAACCGCCACACGTGCCACAACAACACAACGTCTTCTTCACCACGGCTACCCCGGAAAAATCTTTAGAACCCCCTCCCCCAATAGAGGGTAGCTAATAATTTTCTCGGCGGCTTCATTGAGGGACTGGGGTCCCACCGACGGGGGGGAACTGATTAAGCTACTTTAGGACCAATTCCTTTCACTGCCGAGAGAAAAGGCAAAACTAAAGAACTTTAGCGGTTACCCACGAAATCCAGACAACCGCTTGCTGCGGCGGCTCTTCGCCTTCTTCCCGGGTTGTCGTCGTGCTTTTCCTTGGCTGGCCGTCCGTCGCCTTCTCTGTGGTGCTGGTGTTCTTCGCTCCGGCCTGCCGCACGGGATCGGCAGAGACGGTTGACACGGCTGCACCGATGCCTGCCGAGAGCTCGACGAAGCGCACCATGGGCGCAGACGCAGCACCCCGAAGCAGACGGCACAGACGACGGGGACCTTTCCCGGGCCCTCTTCGGGAGAGCGCCGAGAGACAGCGTCGACCGTGCGCCGAGGACGAGCAGCGGCGGCCAGGGGCCGTGGGAGGGCCAGGGCGGGGGGTCGTGGCGGTGGCCGCGCGCGGGACGCAGGGAGAGCTGCAGGGGGCAGGGGCACAGAGCAGGGGCAGGGGCGCGGGGCCGTGGGAGGGCACAGGGCGTGCCACAGAGCAAGCCACAGGACCCATGTCCAGGCAGCACAGGAGGATCAGGCCACTCCACTGCGCTCCAGGCGGGCGTGGGGATGGGCAGACAGTGTCGGTGCAACACGCGAGGTTATCATCAGCAAGCGGAACACGTATGTGAGAATATGTGCACAGCACGGCACACAACACCGGGTGAATGAACAACCGCCGCACAGGCTAGGAGCAGCGAGTCAGTGCCCATGAGCATCACCTTCTCTTTACTGTGTGACTGCTAGTTGTGTCTCTTGATCCGGGACAGGCAATGTAATTGTTTAGCATGTCGTTGCTCAAAATGGGCGCATGTGTCCCCAGACTCCTACCACTATTACCCATTCGTCAGGATGTAGCCATGACTTGTCTACAGGACTGGTGAAACTGAGTAGTGGCGATGGTCGTCACCATCACCAGTAACGGTGACTGTACTGCTGCTTGGGCTGCTGGTGTATGCATTGCTGATGTAACTGCTTCATCTAAAGTTTGCCAGCGTGGACCCCGAACACTGAGTTCGTGCACCATCGACCCCCCACAATGAGTCAGTGCACAATGGGTGTGTAAGCTATGTCGTGCAAGCAACGCGTGTTGTGTGTACGTGTGAATGTGTGTGCGTGTGTGTGTTGCGTGTGTGTGTGCGTGAGAGAATGCGTGTATGTGTGAATGTGTGTATGTGTGCGAGTGCGTTTGCGTGTGCGTGCTTGTGTGTGCGCGCGTGCTTGTGCGTGTGCGTGTGTGTGCGCGCGCATTTGCGTGTGCGTCTGCGTGTGCGTGTGCGTGCGCGTGCGCGTGCGTGTGTGTGTGTGTGTGTGTGTGTGTGGTTGCGTGTGGGTGTGTGTGTGTGTGTGTGCGTGTGTGTGTGCGTGTGTGTGTGTGTGTAAGTGCGTGTGTGTGTGTACGTGTGTGCGTGTATGTGAATGTGTGTATGTTTGTGTGCAGGCGTGTGCAAGTGTGTGTAAGTTTGTGTGGTCGGGGGGTGCAAGCTGCGTTTTGGGATCATGATCTCAGCGTAATTTAATGTAATGTAATGTAGACCGTGCGCACGTCATACGTGGTGGAAGCCGTGTGGTGACCAGCGCAAGCTACACATGGTGCAAGCCCTGTGCTGAAGGCCACGTGCCGCAGGCGATGCGGCGTGAGCCACAAAGGGCGAAAGTCAATTGATGCAAGCCGTGCAGGCCATGCAGCGCAAGCAGCACGGGCCTACGGCCGCCCGCCAGGCGTCACCCTGGCGGACCCGCCCAGCACACGGGGCGCCCACGGGGCGCCCACGAGGCGCCCGCCCAGGCGAAGCCCCTGCGGGCCCGTCCAGCACTCGGGAGCGCTCACAGGGCGCCCGCAGGCGCCCACGAACAGAAATGCGAGCCCCTGCGGGAAGCACTGTGAGGGGGGACGGATCAAGGACGAGGCAATCGCCTTGCCTCTGTGTGTTCGCCCGCAGGCGCCCACGAACAGAAATGCGAGCCCCTGCGGGAAGCACCGTGAGGGGGGAAGGATCGAGGACGAGGCACTCGCCCTGCCTTTTGTGTGTCCGCCGCACGCCTACCCTTGAGTAGTGCTGCCGTCGCGTCGATACATGTTTCGCTGCTGTCGCGCATGCAGCTTCAGGCATTTCGAGTTTCTGGGGTCCTGATGTACGCTAGTGATAAGCACGTGCTGTCAGATGGCAGCTCTCACATGGGGATCGGGGGTGTTGCTAGATCGCGGTGCGCAGGGGACCACTCATCGAGTGTCTCTGTGTCTTTGTCTCTCTCTCCCTCTCTCTCCCTCTCTCTGTCTCGCAAAATCGGTCTCTCCCTCTGTGTTTCTGTATGCGGCCCGCAGACCTGCAGTACAGTTTCCCGTTGCAGGCCTAGCGATGACAGATGAAGGAACTTGTGCACACCACGCCGAAGAAACACGCAAGTTTTGCGGACTTCGGAAACGCTGAACACAAACACGTGTTCATCTCTTGGATGCGCATGTTTCACTTCCGCCACCTTCCGCCGCCCTTCCGCCGGCGGAGGCGGCCTCGTTGTACTTGGGCCGACCTTCCGGTTCCCGTCCGCCGCCTTCCGCCGCGGAAAAGATGTCAACTCCTTCGATCCTCGAAGGCAAGGCCCTTTTTGGAACGCCACATTTGTTTAGGATGCACGCCCATACAGTTCAAGCGGAACAGATACAATGAAGCCCCTGACTCTGGAGTGCGTTGCCGCTTCTCCCCCCTTAGGGGGAGAAGGCCGCGTGGAGGGCCAACGAGGCTCTAAGACTACCCCCCCCGAGAGGGGCCCCAAAGGGAGCTTAATGTGAAACAACACGCCCATAATACGACCAAGCACAAACCCAACACAGGCCCAAGGCGGCCCCGCTGCAGCCGCAACAAAAACCCCAGGGTGTCCCTGAAACTACTCAGGACCGGCGCAAGGCGAAACCCGAATGGCCGATGCGGCCCCACGGCCCCCAAACTGCCCGAAGACGCCCAACGGACACACATTAGGCCTCCGAGAGGGCCCCGGGAGGCTCGCAGTGGGTCCAGAAGAAGCCATAAAAGAGGACCTGTGCTGAGGCCTGGGAAGGGAGCTATCACATTCTTGGGGCCATCTGGCCCTTAGAAAAGCGAAGGCAAACTGACACAGTAGACACATACACGTCGTTCATGTCTAATCGTGCTCATTTCTAATTGTGCTCGTTTCTACTTGTTCCTGCCCCCATGGTGGCCTGGAAGAGGCCCAGGATAGAACGATTAGAAATGACACGATCTTGGCCCCCCAAAAATCAAAGAACTTTCGAATACTTGGACATGAGCAAGGTGTACAATGGTAGCATCAGGAGTCTGTGAGCATTCTTCGTTCCCCTCCCTGCGGCCGCCCGCTCCGTCCCTCCCCCCTCCTGCAGTCTGGCCGATTCGCTATCACGGTGCCCCCTGTACAGCTGGCTTCTGCTCGCCAGCGCGGACGACCCCCGCCCAGCCGTCGAACCCCCCCTTTGGGGCCACCTGCCAGCATGCCCGTCCCTCCGCTGGTGCGCTTGCTGCAGACCACACGACCCCGCGGGGCCAAGGGGCAGAGAAGCGTCACACGCTGGCCCTGGGGGCAACCTCTGGGGCCCGACGAGGGCAGCTACCACGCGCGCCACCCAGCTGGAGTCAGGAGTGCGGGAACGAACACCGACATAAACCCAAAACCTCTGGGGTCCGTGCGGATTTCTCGGATCGTCCCCCTCCCTGACGCGCCAGAGGCGCCGCCGTGGGGGGCCCCGCGCCGATCCCAGAAACCCGCGCGGACCTCCGAGCTTCTATGGTTATGTCAGCGCTCGTTCCCCGGAAGAGTGAGCGATGCGACGTGTTGCTGCGCTCTCTGGCTCACGCGACGACGGGCTTACCTGCGGCGGCCCTCTCCGAGCGGCAAAAAATCGGGCTGCCGCAGATCACGGTCCTCCGGGGCCGTGGGGGGGCGATGTCACGCGGTCCGGCCGTGCAGGCCCCCGACGGAACCAACTGCCACAGATTACCCTTGATTCTGGCACGGATGAGGTTCGGACGCCCGAAAGGCATACGGGAAAACATGGGTACGATGCACAACAGCGAATGTTGCCCAAAACCAACAGCGGCCGCTGTTGGGCAGGCGCCAACGTCCGCGGCGACGCCGGCAGCGTCCGCGGTGGACGTTGGCGCCTGACAGCAGATCGGCCGCGGCGAAAATCGGCCGCGGCGCCTGATTGCATCTCGGATGGAAAACGTCCGCGGCGACGCCGGCAGCAGATCTGCTTCAACATGCACAGAGACTTCAATCGGCCTTTGTCAACAACACTTCCGTACCTACTTCGATCTTCCAGATAAGATAGGTGCCCCATGTCAGGGCCATGTGGGGCCATGTCAGGGCCAAATGGGGCCTCGTGCAGGGCACCCGCTGCATGTTACGGCCTCCAGGGCGACTCTTGTGGGGTCGCCGCGAAGTGCTGCACTGGGACGGTATCGGAACACACGGTGAGGGTATTGAATAAAGAACCCTTGGATACAGAACTCAGGGTCTGGAAGCCGGTGGAACACCAACTGAGGCTTCGCCATGGATTTCACCGCCACCCTCATCAAACAAGAACTCATACAGGGACTGAAGCCTCCCGGGCACATTCCTGAACGGACGCCGCCACCATACTGCAAGCATCTGGACCGGCACCACCCCCCTCACCCGCAAATGTAATGCCCCTGCCCCCCAGAACGCCCTAAGTACGCCCAGATGAACACCCGAAAACGACTGCACTCGATCTCGATCTGCCTGCAACGGCGTTGAGGTCGCACTGCTTTGAAGGGAACCCGAGGCCGAACCGGAAGAAAACAAGGCGCTCCAAACGGTAAAACCGATCCGTCTGAGATCTGTGTGTCTTCTCTTCTAGGTCCAGCTTGCAGCACTGACGACGACGGCGGCGAAGACGACCACGACGACGACGACGACGACGACGACGACGACGACGACGAAGACAATGGTGACGGCGACGGCGGCCGCCGAGATCCTCCAGGAGCCCCCGAGAGCATCCGAGAGCCTCGAGATCCTCTGAACATCCCCAGGGGACGAGGAGGGAGGACGAGTGGAAGCAAGAAGAGTGACAAGGACGGAGGAGGAGAGGGAGAAGGACGGCGAGAAGGGAGAAGGGGGAAGAGGGGAAGGAGGAGGGGAGAAGGAGTGTGA